CATCCATCCATCCATCCATCCATCCATCCATCCATCCATCGAATCTATGAATCTACTTTTCTTCTGACGAAACACACCCAAACGCAAGGGCCTAACCAGGGGCAGGAGCCAGACACCTGAAACTGGCGCTGGAAGCAGGGCGTGCTGGAGCGGGGTCGTGACGTCATCGCGCGGCGCCGGAAGCGGCCTAGCGGCCATGGAGGAGCGGCCGGGAGTCGGAGGCCCGCCGCGAGAGGCACCGGTAGAGGAAGCCGAGCCTCTGAGCGCTTGGGGTGGGGACAGCGGCCACGTGTCGCAGAGCCAGAGCCGCGCTTCGGGGCGGTGGGAGGACGACGGCTCGGAGGACGCCCCGGGCCGGGACCTACCGCTGCTGCGCCGCGCCGCCTCGGGCTATGCCGCCGGCCTGCTTCCCGCCGCGGGGCCGCGGCCCGAGGTGCAGGCCCTAGACGCCAGCCTGGAGGAGCTGCTCGCCAGGGTGGACGAGTTCGTGGGCATGCTGGACATGATCCGCGGGGACTCGTCGCACGTGGTCAGCGAGGGCGTGCCGCGCATCCACGCCAAGGCCGCCGAGATGCGGCGCCTGTACGGCCGCATCGACCAGCTCGAGGCCTTCGTGCGCATGGTGGGCGGCAGCGTGGCCCGCATGGAGGAGCAGGTGACCCGGGCCGAGGCAGAGCTGGGCTCCCTGCCCCGGGCCTTCCGGAAGCTGCTGCACACCATCAGCATGCCCGCGCTCTTCAGGTCCGGCCCCACGGGGCCCCAGCGCGCTGCCTACGAGCCGCCCGCCCTGTTCCGGACGGAAGACTACTTCCCCGGCTGCAGCGACCGGCCCCAGCTCTGAGCCCGCACCCCGCCGGAGGAGGCCCCGAGCCCGCACCCCGCTACGGGAGGCTCAGAGCGAGCGCTTGTTAAAGAGCCTGCGAACAGGCGTGCGTGGTGTCGGAGTGCGACTTGTGCAAGTTTACTTTCTACAAAAACTGTTGTCTTCGGTTCTGTCTGAAAGCTTTTTGGTGGGGGGATGCTGGGGAAGCCAAATGAATTAATTTTATCTGTGCAATAGGGCAGAGCTGTTATTTTTTATGGATTTTACTACAACTAACAGTGTTAGTGTGTCCAGATTTATATATTTATATGATCGATCACAAAAGTGACCCAGCAGTTAAAGCCTTGTTATTAAATCCTAACAGTGATTCCGTTTCCTGTGGCCTACTTTTAGGCTAGATGGTACGTTGTTAAGCATTATGTTCAACTTTCCCTAGTGTGGATTGTAAGCCAAAGGAAAACAGTACTGAGTGTTCTGCTGCAGCAGGTTCTGAAGTTGTATCTGACAGTGATTCGCATCTGTATTTATGATTGTCAATGTTTGGTTTATGACAAGCACTAATTAAAATTATAAATTTTATTGGAAGAGGTTTCTTACTGGAAATTATTCTGTGCATTTCCCGTGCTTGAATAGGCCTGTTGGGCGTGGTTTTAATAGTGGGATAAAGAAAAGGCCATTTTTTCCAGAAGGCTGAAACACCACTGCACTGTGTGTTCCTACCCAGGAATCCTCCGAGGGAGTGGAGGGAATCCTTTTCTTCACTTTGCCAACATCAAATGTTTCAAGGGAGCTTTCTGACACAAAGGGCTTTGATCTATGTTTTATTTTTAAAAAGTGGGTGTTTTCCACACAGCGAGTTCAGGCCAGCTGGGGCTACAGGAAGACGCGCCTCAAAAAGACCAAAAAATAGAAGTGCCGGATGGGGTGGCGCATTCCTTTAGTCCCAGCACCCAGGAGGTAGAGGCAGGCGGATCTCTGTGAGTTCGAAGTCAGCCTGGTCTACGAAGTTCCAGCCCAGCTGGGGCTACAGGAAAACCCTGTCTCAAAAAGACCAAAAATAAAAAGTTGCTGTTTTCCAAGGTGGTCCTTCCAGATACTAACCTCAGGTAAGCATCCCGCTGAGTGGGGTCTTGTGAGAAGAGTTGATAATGGAGCCAGGTGTGGTAGTATGAACTTGGAGTCAAAGGTAGGAGAATTGCAAGATTGAGGATAGCCTGGGCTACAGAGTGAATTCTAGGATAGCTTGAGTAACTAAAAAGACCTTGTCTCAAAAATTTTAAAGTGACAGCCGGGCCTGATGGCACACGCCTTTAGCCCCAGCACTTGGGAGGCAGAGGCAAGTGGATCTGTGAGTTCAAGCCCAGCGTGGTCCACATAGTTCCAGGCCATACGGGGCTACAGGGAGACCCTGTCTCAAAAAGACTTAAAAAAAAAAATTATTTTAAGTGACAAATAATGTAGTCTGTGCCTTTGGCATTCTGATGGTGCACATTGACAGTTAGGTAGTTCATGGGTTAAGGTCAAAGAACGCCTGATTTCAGAAGCTTGAGAGGACCAGTGGCCTGTGGTTATTGTTCAGCAACTCCTGGGTGCTGCAGCAAGTAAGTAATGTCCTGTGACAGTCACTGGATGTGAACATAGATTTCCAGGCTAGTGACACCCTGTCCCAGAAACAAAAAGATTGCATATATTATGTCTCTAGCTAACCTGGCTTTTTGTTGTTTGGTTTTTTGAGACAGGGTCTCCCTGTAGCTCCAGCTGGCCTGGAACTCACTATGTAGACCAGGCCGGCCTTGAACTCACAGAGATCTGCCTGCTTCTGCCTCCCAAGTGCTGGGATTAAAGGTGTGCACCACTGCACCGGCCCTAACACGGTTTTTAGCATGCTTAAGGTTTTGTAAAAGGTAGTAGAAACTAGCCGGGCATGGTGGCTCATGCCTTTAATCCCAGCACTTGGGAGGTAGGGGCAGGCGGATCTCTGGGAGTTCAAGGCCAGCCTGGTCTACAAAGTGGGTTTCAGGCCAGCGGGGGCTAAAGGGAAACCCTGTCTCAAAAAAAAAAAAAAAAAAAAAAGGTAGTAGAAATTAATGAAAATAATTATAAAGTATTTAATTACCTGTGTAAAAAAAAAAAACCTTATATTCCAGAAAGTACACTTTACATGTGCTATAAAATAATACTGATTACAGTACTTTCTTTTTGGTCTTTTTGAAACAGGGTTTCCCTGTAGCTACAGCTGGCCTGGAACTCACTATGTAGACCAAGCTGGTCTTGAACTCAGAGAGACCCATCTGCCTCTGCCTCCTGAGTGCTGGGATTAAAGGTGTGTGCCACCACGCCCAGCAACTCAACAATACTTTTATATTTACTTACAAAATAGTAAATCAGGTTGAGGAAAAGATTGTAACCTGTAGAGGAAAAGTCTTCTCTTTTTAAAACTAATCATATGATAATTTTCTGACAATACATGCCAGAGTCCTGGTTCATATGCAAACATGCATGCACCCCTGTGCAGCTTATCCCTAAGGGGGCTTGGGTTCTGGAATTCCAGAATTTATAAGAGATTCGTTCATGGCCCTCTTGCTTGGCATGGGGGTTTGAAGCTGGCTTGCCCAGTTCACAACATTGGATGGAAGTTATTTGCCTCATGAATGGAGATTGAAACCAGATGTAATTCATAATCCCAGCACTCAGGAGGCTGAGGCAGGAGGATCTTCAGTTTGGAGCCAATCTGAGCTATATATCCAGTTCTAGGCCAGCCCAGGAGTAAGACCCTGCCTGCAAAAACAAAGGAATGTCTGTGGTAGAGCTGGGTGCTCCGTGCCTGGTAAATAAAAGATTTATTTATCTTTATGTGTATGTGTGTGTGTCTGTGCACATGAGTATAATGCCTGCGGAGTCCCAAGGCATCAGGTCTCCCAGAGTTGGAGTTACAGGCAGTTGTGAGCCACCTAGGAGTCCAGCTTGAGTCCTCTGAAAGAGCAGGAAATGCAGTTAGCTGCTGAGCCATCTCTCTAGACCCGGATTAGTCTTTTTCTTGACTGACAAGAGCACAGTTAACTGCTGAGGTGAGCAGGACGCAGGGCTTCCCTCAGCAAATGCCAACCTCTGGACCTAATATATGTGAAATGCTGGCCGCCAAGGAGCCAGCCAGCAGCCAGCCACTGTGTTCTGAGCCAGAACTTTCAGGGATCAGAATCTTGAACCATGTTCCTAGCGCAGACACTAGAGCTGCATAGCCTGGTGTAAACCTGCTGGCTTCAGCAAACAATGTTCCCAAAGGGCCGCCAGTCAGCTGAGGTTCCAGCATCTCAGGCACATGGTCCACAGCTACTTACCTCCCCTCATAGTGCAGATGCAGCTGGAGTATGTATAAGCCACTGTGCGTGGCTGTGTGCCAATAAATTAGAGCTATTCTTAAAGACGAGAAACAAGGGGCTGAGGAGATGACTTGGTAAAGTGCTGGGCAAGCTTGAGGACCCCAGTTTATCTCCCCAGCATCCACATAACAGCTGGGCAGTATGCATCTGTAACCCCAGCCCTGAGGGGCAGAGACAGGAGGATTGGGGGAGTTGGCCATCTAGTCTAATCCAAACAGCTCTAGGTTCAGGGAGATTCCGTCTCTGGGCTGGAGAGATGGCTTAGCCATTAAGGCTCAGGCTCACAACCAAGAAGACAAGGAGACCCTGAGTCAATAAAAGGTAGAAGCCCTGAGTGTGGTGCACACATTTAATCCCAGGTCTTGGGGGGCAAAGGGCAGATGGAGCTCTGTGAATTCCAGGCCAGCCTGGTCTACCTAGCGAGTTCCAGGCCAGCTGGGGCTACAGGGAGACCCTGTCTCAAAAAGACCAGAAAAAAAAAAAAAAAAAAAAAAAAAGGTAGACGCAATTGATGAAGACATCTTGTTACCATCAACCTCTGGCTTCCGCTCTCCTGCTTGGGTGGGTGCATCTGCACAAAGAAAAAGAAAACAATTCTAAAACACACAATAGAAAAAGACTAACAATAGTCTGGACTTCAAAGTTTAAAATTAGCTTGGCTACACAGCCTTAAGAAGGCGCCTCATGAGAAGGTGGGCTGTCAGTTCCCAAGGATGTTTTTTCTTGCTGTTCAAAGTCAGTAAGAAGAAAGACAAACTCAAGATGCTCTGCAGGGGTGCAGGTCACATGAGGCCCCATCACAAGAAAGTACCAGCCCAGCTTTGGGATGTCATCTGACTCATCACCCACTTTCTGCACCAGAAACTTCTCATGGCCTTGCTAAGGACTGACTGGTTTAGAGTGGTCTGCTATTAGAGAGTAAGAGGAGGCATCCAAGTCATCCCCCTAAATGTCCCCCAGTGCACCCATCTGTCCACCCCCCATCACTACTCTGCCCACCCCAGGCTCCTTGTGTCACCCCAGCAGCTCAGCAACCCTGAATAGTCTCCCTCCCCACGCCTGTTCTCCACATAGAACACAGCAGCCAAGGGGCTTTAAAAGCCCCAAGTCAGGCTGAAGAGACATCTCATAGTGTTTGTTTTGCAAGCATGAGGACCCGAGTTTGCGCCCATGTAAATAAGACAGGCATGGTTAAGAATACTGGCTATTCATGCAGAAGGCCTGGGTTTGAATCCCAGCACCCACATGGCAGCTAACAACTGTCTGTAACTCCAGTTCCAGGGGAATCCGACGGCCTCTTCTGTCCTCCGTGGGCACTGAACGACATGGGTGCACTTACCTACATGCAGGCAATACACACATACACATCAAAATAATAATTTTTTTAAATCTTTTTTTTCATTTTTATTTTATGTGTGTTTCACCTGCATGTATATAAATGCAGTGTCTGTGGAGGCCAGAAGATTGTGTCAGGTCCCCTAGAACAGAAGTTACAAACGGTTGTTAGCCACTGCATGGGTGCTGGGGATAGAACCTGGGTCGTCTGGAAGAGCAGTCAGTGCTCTTAACTGCTGAAACATCTCTCCAGTGCCCCCCCCACGCCCTTTTTGGTCTTTTTGAGATAGTTTCCCTGTGGCCCCAGCTGGCCTGGAACGTGCTATGTAGACCAGGCTGGCCTCGATCTCACAGAGATCTGCCTGCCTCTGCCTCTCAAGTGCTGGGATTAAAGGCCACCATGCCCTGCAAAGCCTACAGCACCCAGTATTCCCAGGCAAAATCCCATCTTAGTACTAACCAGGCCTGACCCGCTTAGCTTCAGAGATTGGGCACGTTCATGGTGGTACGGCTGTCCCCCGCTCCCCCCACCTCCTTTTTTTTTTTTTTTTTTTTTTTTTTTTTTTATATGCCCTGTAATCCCAGTGCCAGGGAGGCAGCACACATGTACCCACAACAAAACCCTCATTCAGATGTCTTGGCCTTTGCCTAAAGCTCTCACTAGTTCAGCTGGACATTAGAATAAAACCAGAACCCTAAGGGCCCCAGTTCCCAGTTCCCTGTGGAGTTCCCACAGGACCTGCCCCCACCTTCTCTCACTATCCTGGGAGCCCTCTAGGTATCCTTTGTGATGGTGTCTGTGGCATTATCCAATCAGCCTGCCTCACCGCCTGTGGGTGTGACAACTGTGGGTCCTGCTGCACTTGGCGG